TAGAGCCTGCCTGTGTCAGTATCCAAAGACTGGGCTTTTCCTGAGGAAGACAGGAAAGCCCTTGCCAAGCAGCTTCTCTCGGAACTGAAGCCGGAGCCTTTGCTCCGTTGTCCTGGTTCTGACCTCTGTTTAGGTGGGTGGGAGTCGCAGAGGAGGCTCATTTGGGGGTTTCCGAAAATAGAGGACCCTAATATAGTACCCTAAATAGTAGGATCCTTATTCTAAGGACCCCAAAATAGAGTACCCTAATTATCGGAAAGTCCCATTTCGGACCCAAACCCTCAGCGTGATTGTCAGAGGCCCCCTCGAAGTTGAGTCCACATGCACAGCTCACATGACCTGAGCAAAGGTCGGGAAAGCCGCCTTATACGGTGTTCCGCCACCTGATGGATGGTCCAACGCTGAGCTCAAGTCGTCACCATCACAGCCTAAACGACTTCAGGGTGGCTGTCTCCCTGATTTTCAAAGCCCTAAACTCCAAATCGCGGGAGGCCAGTTATTACCCCTCGGCACTCGCCGGACTGGGCCACATTGTGGCACCAGCTTAAGCCCTCGACTTAGATGCGCCCCAAAGCCCAGGAGACCCACTCCTCGTCAATCGCCAGCCAACTTTGCACAAGTCCTCGGCTCACGTGGCTGCCAGCAGAACTTATGGCTCTCAGAGTTTCGCGGGTTTTTGAAAGGTGTATAGGGCTTTGGAGCAGAGTCTCACATTTGGCGCTGCTGTGTCTTCGTTCAGAAGTTCCGTTTTGGCTGAGGCCTGGCATCATGGCCCACACTGCCAAGGCTTGGCCGTTTTGTTCTTGAAGTGCTACGACGTATTGCTGGAAGGATCACACGTTTTCTGAAAAACGGGTGCCACCCATGTTGCAATTGAATCGCGGCTTTCTTGAGCAGGTCTTGAAGAGGGAAGCGACCATCCGTCTTCACTACGTGCTGGACCTAACTTTCTGACAGCTTCGTGCAGGAAAGCAGCCTTGCCTAGTGAGCCAAAAGCTTTATGGGCCTGGCCGTCTGGATGGTACTTGTATCAAGCCTGTCCCAGCGCAAACCCCGAGCCAGCACACAAGCGTTGCCTGATTAGGGTCCTTTTTTATAAGGGTGCCCTACGTACTATATTGGGGACCTAAAAGGGGACCCTAGCCCCAGTTCAGAGAACTACACAGATTCATGGTTCAGCCGGAGGTGAACTGCAACACTTACAATGCGGACTTCGATGGAGATGAGATGAACTTGCATGCGCCACAGGACATCAGGGCAAAAAAGCCGAGAAGAGTTCCATGGGTGCAGATGGCAGGAAAGTCTTTAAAACCCTCCTTGAGGACCCCATCAGCCGGATGGAAGCTTTGGCTATTGCGAAAGCGGACCAGCAGTGCGCGGAAAAGATTCGACGACACCGCCTTAAGTTTTGAATTTTTTGAATACGGCAAGAGCAGACCCGTGCCATGCGAGGTACTTGGTACCAACGTCCGGAAAGCCTTTGCGGGGCCTGATTCAGGCTGACATGAACGCTGCATCTTGCTGGGGACTGTGGACTGCGGAAGGGCTGCTGCCAAGCCGTCGGCATGTAGTGCTGCTTTGCCACTATTGGACCTAATTCGGAGCAACACAGGCCTGTCTTGACTGGATGCTGCGTGCTGCATGTTGGCTCCTGTCATTGCTGAATGCCGCATTTGGGGGCCTCGAGGCCTTCAGTTTGTGAGGGCGGCTCTTCCTCCAACTTGCATCTTTGAGCCAGGATCATGTCATCGCGGGCACGATGCTGACCAAGAGAGACAGCCTCTTGAATTGAAGGGGTAAGCCTAGTGCAGGGTGCGCCGTGTCACGCCGCAATTGCTGCTCTAGGTCGAGGTGATGCGAGGCAGCAGGGCTTGATTTCCCTTGCCCCCCTCCCATGGATCTGTCAAAGGCCTGTCCCCGAGCCTTTCCTGGCACTCGACCATACGCCTTCCTGAGGCTTTTACACCAAGACAGAGGCGCTTTTTTGGAGTGAAATTTGTGTGCGTCCGTGGCCTGTCATGATATAATGAGAGAATCAGTAGGTCTTCTCATTCGGCGCTCTGAAGGCAGCTTCATGCCATGACTATGCTATTTTCATCCCGGCTTAAATTACTTCGAGCTAAGTTTCAGGCATCCGGTGCTCAGTTCCAGCTCAGCTTCTGCGGATTCGGGGTCCATGGACCGGGGATCCTAGGCGGAATACGTCAGACGTGCGTCGCTGCGAGGTGTGTTTGCTGCTCTACGCTGGCCTAAGGCATGCGCACAGCCCTCAGAACGAAAGAGTCGTGTTCCACTAAATAGGGCTCAAAATGTCCTAATTGCTCTGTCATGTCAGCGGCCTCTCTAACCCACCCTACACATATATACTTTGACCTCCACACCCGACAAAAACTGATCCCTAAACCCAATCTGTTCAGGCTCGAGGCCTCATCCAAGCCAACAGCCATGTCATTTCTGCTCGGGCCCTGGATGTTGCAAGGCACTGGCTGAATTGCTTGGGGGAGCTTCGAACTGCAACAGGCTGCGGCTCAGCATCTGCAGTTAGTGAAGCTGCTTTCGTCACTCAGGACCCTGCGGCAAAAGGCACAGCAAGCATCGCATGAGTTCTTGGGGTAAGTGGCGGCCATTCTAGTCTGGAGCTGTCTGCAATACTGCAAGCACGGCCCTATATCATGGGGTGGCCTGCTGCAGGCCCGCAAGGCGCAGGCCGCCCCAGAGGACCGGAGCCTCCAGACGCCGACGCATCCTCGATTATGATATCACATAACATATGAAACAGCTTGGTACCCTCGCCTTCGGCTCACGCGATTTTTTTTTTAGGATTTTGCAATTTTGTAGGCTGCGCCAGCATCGCGCCAGGCATGAGTAATAATTTCAGTGGCTGAGTGCAGTGACGACAGCGGACGCCCTGAAGATGCCTGTATTGACCATCGTTGGCTGCCTTGCCTACGTTGTCCACCACGACAAGGGCGAGGGCATGGAGGACATTGAAATTGATCACACGAGCACGGATAGTCCTCTCACAACTGGAGACCGCTGGAGACTGATGACAGAAGCGTACGGATTGTCATCAAAGACCTGGATACCTTACCGTGCTCCATCGTGCTCCCAGACACCAGTGAGCAGATCTTACCGACAACCGCCAGCCCTTGAATGCTCCTGGTGGTGCCATCCTGGCTGACATTCTGATTTCTGACATCCCAAATCCTCCAATACACACAATATCACAATGGCTGCTGTCCTGCACAAACAAGGGCACAGTGTACATCCAGAATCTGAATGACCCGAATGAGCTACAATTTGATAGAATTCCCAGCTGGAGCAATTGTGGGAACTCCATTTTCCTTTTTTGGTAAATTCCGCGCCACTAGCCGGCTGTCGGTGTAAAGTCTCCCCTTGCCTCCTTGCAAGAATTGGCAAACGGAGTACCTGAGTCCCCGGATTTGCTTGTAGTTTAGTCCATTGGTCCACATCCATCTGACAGCGATGCCGGCTCTGTTGCCCGCCGGGCCTCTCCCATTGGCTATGTGGGTGCCCAAAAGCATGACCTAAGAAGTTCACATCGGCGAGGATTCGATTGTCAGAACGATTTCAACTATCGCAGGTTCATCGTCAGTTGTGGTGCTTAGCTTTCAAATCTCACTGTGACAGTGCAGGTATCAACCGCAACGGCAGGCTTGAGAACACATAGACCCAAAGGCAACCTCTGATTTGTGCAAATGTCCGTGTGACGCCATATATATGTTTTAATATATATATATATAATATATATATATATATATATATATGTATAATATATAACATTATTTTTTGTATTATATATTATATTGAATTTCTTTCAGAGTGCCCGTCTGCATGCCATGCATGGGCTGAGCCCTGTAAGAAGCCTCTGACTGGCCCTGCAAGGGTCCTGATCGCTAGAGCCCCTTACCATTGAGCAAGACCCGGCTTGAAAGAAGAAAAGCGAACACACAGAAACCCTAAACCCTAAACCCTAAACCCTAGCCTAGGCTTGTGCGGTTGAGTCAAGGAAGGTCTTCGACTCCGGATTCGCGTGCGTCTGCTGATGGCAATTTGGGAATCTTGAGCTTCTGTTGCCCAGAGGATCTAGGGTTAAGGGTTTTAGGGTTTCGGGTTTTTGGGTTTAGGATTTGGGGTTTTAGGGTTTTAGGGTTTAGGATTTAGGGTTTTAGGGTCTCGGATTTAGGGGCTTAGGGTATAGGGTTGCAGGAACCCCGAAATCTGAAGCCAAGCACATCTTCGGCAGGAGAGTGTGCTGGACGCTGCAAAGAAGTTCAAGGCCAGGGCACAGGGAGGGCTTGTCCATTCCGGCCCTGCTCCCGCCGTCCGCCGGGGAGGCCGAATTCATTGTAAAATCCGAGTTTGGGGCTCTCCTGCTTGGTGAATCGCACTCCCGAAAGTGACTGCGTTCAGATTCTCGACTGTTTTGGTCTGGGAACCTTCCCTTTCCCCCCTTCGACTCATTGAAGCTTCGAAGACGTCGCATCAGGGACACACTTCCCGGCACCTCGCGGCTCGAATACTACGTATTTTCGACATCGCTCCATCGTGAGGGGTTTGCATGGTCGATACATATATGTATATGTAGGTAAATAATATATATATATATATATATAAATAAATATGGTTTCGGAATTGTTCAAGTAGCGCAATTGTGCTTCTGCGGCAGTATGATTTGGAGCGCGACTTCTCTCCGAGCACCTGCATTTCTACCTCCCGAAATCATGCTTCTGGTCGCCAGAGTCCCGTGCATGTCCGCCTGTTGAAGTCATGCTTCCACCACAATGCGGTACTAGTAGGCACTCTGGGCCCATGGAGTGGCTTCAGGGGTGCTGTACATGTAGGGACATACATTACCGGGTTTGGCCTGCTAGGCCTGCAAGGTGCCCCGTCTCTTGGGTTATCTTGGGGTTTGTGCTGTACAGGGTCTTCGAAATCGTGGTCGCGAGGACCGGCCGTGGCTGAACCCGAGTGCGCAGATGAATGTGCAGTCCTCGGCCCTGCAGAGTCTGGCGTCTTAAGGAATGTGGAGACTATTAGCTGCCCGAATCGGGATCCAGAGTCAACTGTGCGGTTTTTTGATGTGGTGATCGAAAGTGAGTTCATTCAAAACATCCTGGCCAGCTCCAGACACGTAGTGCCGAAGCGGAAGCAAGGATGCCGCTACAGGATGTGAGAAACCCTTTCAATCTGAGCCGATGTCGAAGCCGAATTCCACCTGTCAAGAGAAGTCAGGCCCAGAAGTTTAAGGTGGAGCTGGATCCACCTGCTGTGCCAGGGTCTCAATTGCAGCAATCTCCATGTTGACAGCCTTTGAGTCTGCAAAGAAACAGCCAACCTGACCCCAAACCCTAAGTTCCGGCTACCACTGTAGGAAGATGTCCCATTGAGGCTTCGTCCCCGGCCACTCTGGTCCGGAAAGCAGGTGTGGCCCCTGTCTATGCTATTGGACTCAGACGCCTTTGCAAAGAAACGAGGTCTTGAGCATGCTGCTGAAGCATCTCATCAAGGTCTGCTCCGAAGGGAAGGACTCAACCCCTGCAGGGGAGGGTTGCTGCGGTAGTCATATTCCCGAGAAGGTACTCAAAGATGCTGAAGTTGAGAAGCCCGTCTGCGCGCACAAAGTCTTACTCCGAAAGTCGCCGTGCTCCCGCTCAGGAGGCAGATACATCCAAGGGGGTCAACTTGGACGGGAAGAGCAAGACGTAGGGCTCCCTGTTGCCGGCTGTGCCCCAAGCATCGAAGCAGTTTGTGGTCGGCCCTGCGCAGGCCCGGAGATATCTGGAATGGGAGGTTAGATGGGGACAAGGAGGAGGCTCGATCAGATACTTCCAATGTACTGTGGAAAGTTTCTCGTGCGACTGAAGCCTGCTGGAAGCAGAACTTGCTCTTGACACTGTCGTGAATGTATGGCGCCTTGCAAGCCCCACCCCATCCCAACTCGACCTGCGTCCGGATACAGGCCACCGTGACTTTTCGCGGATCCGATCTCCTGCAGGGAGTCGGGGAGCTTGGATTGACAAGCACGTGGATAGGGAATTTGCTCCAGACCGTCGTGCAAATTCAAAGCAGTCCAATGTGTTGTTGGCTATTCCATGTTTCTGGCTCGGGTAGCTTTGTTGAAGCACCTTTCACGCTTGTGGCTGAAGGCATGCATGCATTCCTACACGCCCGCAGGCAATGATATATGATGTATCGCGGGTTGCAGAAATAAGGTTGATTGATGTTGGTCCATGCTTGGGCTTTCGCACAAGGTATACGAACGAATGCGTCTGTCAGGCGAATATGTACCGAGTCGAGATAGTCCTGTGTGCCATCATGTCGGATCCCGTCTGATGGAGAGCCACGGCGTGTGCGGCATGATGTTGCGCCTATGCGGCTGCAAATGTGTCGGCATGCGCCTGCTTGCATCTCACTCCCAATATACTATAACATAATAGAATATTGTATAGTATGGTATAGTATAATATAATATAACTTAATATAGTATAGTATAATGTAATATAGTATAGTATATCACATTAGAACAGAACATATATATATATGTGGGAGTGATCCCGTAATTCTATGTTTGTACGAATGGCAGGAGCCCCCAGAAAAGCTTCACGGGCCTTCCTCTCTCAGGTCCTGGACAAGGCATCCTTCGGCCGGGGCTCTCAGCAGACACAAATCATGAAGAGGGCCTTCTCTGACATGGATTCCATAAGACTACACAAAAACAAGATTATACAACGTACTACAATCTAGTATACTTAAAGTATAGAATCGGTTTACCCAGGTGCTGAGACGGCCGGAATCACGCCTACCTGGCTGAATTCGGAACGGGTCATGGCCCTAAATGCCCTAAACCCTAAGCCCATCAGTATGCAGGGGAAATGCCTTTGTTGCCTTACGTGGAGAATGCATGAGGAAGGGTTTGAACAGCTGACCAGAGTGTTCATGGCCAGGGGAACAAGCGTGCCCCATGCCGCCTCTTGTGGTACGATTCATAGGACTCTCCTCTGCCATGGCAGGCACATGTGCTTCGAGCTCATGGGTGGCCGGCTTGTCAGTACCCCTGCCATATATTCGCAGAGGAGGGCAATCCCCCTTTTGAGGCTCCTGGCAGTACGCATATGATTTGAGGGCTTTTTGGTGTAGGAACGAGTCGCGGGTTGCGGGTGGGGGGCCTTCGAAGGGTGTGGAAGTGGGTTTGGGGCTGAGGGTTGGGAGCAGAGTGAAGCTTCCAGCATGTATTAGTTTGCAAAGGGCATTTTTTCTCGGCTTGTAGAGTCTTTCAGCGACGGCTTGCCTTGATCTCGGAAGCTTCCGGAGGTTCGACTCTAGAAGCTGGATGATCTCAAGCGAACCACTCCCCTGATTACATGGTCAGAAGCCGCTAAACCCTAAACCCTGTGCCTTAACTAAACCCCAAAACCCCCAAACCCCTCAACCCCTAAACCCCTAAGCCCCTAAACCCCTAAACCCGAAGCCCCTAAGCCCCTAAACCCGAAGCCGAGGACCGAAATTCCCTGCATTGCCAGGTCTCTGGCTGTCCGGGATCGCCAGGCCAGGAGCTGGGAGATGAACCTCTGGCGACGTTCGGGTTAGGGGTTTAGGGGTTTGTGTCTGGGGGTTTAGGGTGTTTAGGGTGTTTAGGGGTTTAGGGTGTTTGGGGTTTTTAGGGGTTTAGGGTGTTTGGGGTTTTTGGGGGTTTAGGGTGTTTGGGGGTTTAGGGTGTTTAGGGGTTTAGGTGTTTAGGGTGTTTAGGGGTTTAGGGTTCAAGGTAACCCGTTCGGTTTAAGGTGTTTAGGGTTTTGGGGTTTAGGCTTAGGGTTTACGTTAAACCCTAAACCCTAAACCGAGAACCTAATCCCAAGACCTGGGAGGCTCTTCACTCTGCTGTTGCAGATGCGGGGCTTCACCTGCGCCTACGAAGACCTGGTCCTCAGTCTGGTTCTCAGAAATGTCGGTGAGCTAGGCAGTTTACAAGTAGGCCAGAAAGCGGATGGTTTCGTTTGAGTGAGTTTTGTGCTTAGTTACTCGGGAACAGATATTGGAGAGCCATAACTGCCATAACAGTCTCCCACATTCTGTACTGTACCGTTAGGACCGGAAATCGACGAGAAGAGGACCGGAAAGTCTTGTTCTAGCTGCTATTCGCCTGGTGCACAAAGCTATTTGCTTGGTTCGCAGTCTCGCGAGAGAACATGCGATGGGAGATTTCGACTGGGTGTCCAATTCGTTGTTTTGCAGAGGACGGAGCTGGTCAAGGGAGCGCTCGATGCTTGGCATGCTCAAAGCTTGCAGGCAACCTCGACAGTCTGCAGCTTGCATCAAGGCGGTTGGCCGCAAAGGAGGTGGCTGAACAGTGGCAAGCCTGACCAGTCTTGATTGTTATAGTCCATCAGCACGGCAACAAGGTGCATTTTGAATAGCAGCGCATGCAAGCAGCCATTCACCCAGGCACCGAACCATCCTCACTCATGACTTTACGACGTTTGAAGCAGCTCCGTTTGACGATCCGCTATAGAATCACAGTGCCATGATGGACGTTTGCTCTAAGAAATTGCCAGGATCCACAAGCATGGTGCAGGCGAAGAGCTGCGCTGTGCCTAGCGAGAATTTGCAAGATGACAGTGTGAGTTTGTCACTCCATACACATGCATACATACATGCATACATACCTACATACAAACATACCCATATACCTACATACCTGCACACCTACATGTCTACATACCTACCTATGTACGTACATACATATACATATGCATATGCATATACATATACGTATACATATACATATACATATACATATACATATACATATTATATATGTGCATACATCCATAGCATGTGTGTATATATATATACAAATATTCACACTATACATCCGAGCATGCATACGGTAGAGCGGCGGCGTAGAAAGCCCATCTTTTGCAGAACAGCTGATGGGCGAGTGCCGACGCAAGGCCAGTGAACCCCACGCCAAGCGCACTTTCAAAGGCATCCAAACATCTGCCCGGAGCTTAGGTGCCCAGCAAGGTGCTTCTCTGTGCACACTGCACATGTATACTCGGTTGTTCTGAAGACGGTCCCGCTTCAACTCCCACGATCCTCATGTTCCTGCTAGTGAACCTGTATCAGACTGGTTCACTTGGTACCTCAAAGAGCTTCCCTAGTACAGAACATGCCCTGTTTGGCGTAGCTTGCAAGGTTTCAGCAGAAGGAGACCGTGGAGCACTTTGAGGGCTTGATCATTGGCCCGAGCCTTGGCTTTTCGGATGTGGAGGAAGGCAAAAGTAAGCTCCTGCTGAGGGACACGCGCCGAATTCCCTCCACGCTGGCAGACTGCCTGCATCGTGTCCAACACTGCCCATCACATGTAAGCATAAACCCTAAACCCTTAAAAGGGCTACTGCACTTGAAAACAACCCACAAGCCCTAGGCAAGATGAAGGAGTTCTGGTCCGGCATGATCAACAAGTGGAAGCCTCGGCTCTTGCGTGGAGTGCTCTCAGAACCAAGTTGTCGGTTCTGACTTCTGCTCTCCAAAGGCATTTACTTGATCCAGGAGTTTGCATCCTGTTTTGAAGTCTTTATTTATATTCAAGCAGAACCCGCCGCCCTAAACCCCACATTAAGCAACCCTAGAGCCCTGAAGCCCTCAACAGCCCACAAAAGCCCCGAGGTGCATTCCCATTGGACAGCGGCTCCCGGTTCCCCGGAACTGCTTTGCAGCGGAAGTCTCAGCCTCTCTGCGCCTCTGGGCCTCAGGCTGCGCCTCTACTATATAGGGGCCTTGAATAGTGACCTATCTTATATTCTTTTGGGGGGTTCGTTACCATCATTCTAGCATAAGATACCCCCAAACCCTCATCTACTAGGATCGGATTACACGGTCCCCTCCCCAGCTCCAATCTTGCAGATTCAGGGTGTGAGGGGTGTAGGGCTTGCAGAGCTCGAGGGTTGAGTTGCAAGCCAACTTTGCAGCGCCATGAGAGCAGAACAGGAGGCTTCCCGGGATGCCCCAAAGCCCCAGAGAGCCCCTAAACCCCGAAACCCTCAACCCCAAAACCCAAAACCCCAAAACCCTAAACCCTAAATCCAAAAGCCCCAACAAAGCACCCTGAAAGCCCTCTAAAGCTGGCCGAGTCCATGGTGCAGACGGGAGCCAAAGGGTCCAAAGTCAATCAGCCGGGGGCCCGAGCTTCTGGATCATCCCGGCCACGGGAACGCTTCAACAGCTACTACACGGCTTTCAGAGGCAGCTTTTGAGTCCTCTTGATCCTTCAAAAAGCAGAAGCATTGGTTAAGAAGCATCGTGTCAACTTGCGTCAGGCAGAGTTATCCGAATCCTGGACTGGTTTCAGGGCAGAGGGGCCTGTGCGAACTGCGCTCTAGTGGTGCCCTGAGGTCGCAAGTCAGCTGCTGCTTGGGACAGCAGGACGCCAGCGCCATCAGATCTCCTTCGAACATCCTAATATTTTATATTATATTATATTATAT